GTTCTTTCACCAGTTCTTACTTTCCTTTCAGGTTATTGCTAATTAGTCACTATCTTGTCTAACTTTCACTATTAGCCTCTGAACCTCCCTTCCCTCCCACACATCCGTTTCATTTACACATTCCTGGCATTTGCTAGACCTTGTGGCCAAAAATCCCCTGAAGGAACAGAAATTTGGTTTACAAAATTCGTTACCTTGCTCTGGGGCCTAATGACTGTGACAGTTTCTTGGGATTTATGATCCATTCATAATGATATGTTGCAAAAGAAAGAATCAGCTCCTGGCCATGAAGAACAGCACCTGTAGCTGGGCTAGTTAATTTAACTGGTGTAGATTTCTAGTTTCCATCTCTGCCACCAGCATGAGTTCTCTTATTGGCGCTGTGACACTTGTTCGTGTGAGGGAATCATAGAAGATCAGGGTTGGAAGGGACCTCACGAGGTCACCTAGTCTAAACCCCCTGCTCAAAGCAGGACCAATCCCCAATATTTGGCCCAGATCCTTAAATGGCCCCCTCAAGGATTGAACTCACAACCCTGAGTTTAGCAGGCCAATGCTCAAACCACTGAGCTATCCCTTCCGCCTGGGATAGCTCCTTAGGACTGGCTATGGAGTTCCTTGCAGAGTTCCTTAGGACTGGCTACAAACAGCCATCAAAGGTGAACTCTTCCACCCACAACATGGAGCTACCAGTGATGCATGTAGAACCTCCCCCACTTCAGTATCCAAGAGCTTTTCCAGCTTGGCTTATCTCTGTAGCTAATTAAGCAAACCTGCATTCTGCCTGCCCCATAAGGCTTTATGGAAATATGCTTATGAAGGTATATATGACATAACTGGAATAGTTTTATGCTACATATGCCATGTAATATATCTCTGTAAAGATTATGATCTACTGAATCTATTCATCCTATTTGTATGTAGGTATCATTTTTGTATTTGAAGTTACGAATATTTGCTGTGTACTTGCTTGATTTCTATGTAGCCTTAGTAAGCATTTGGTCAGCTTCTTGAGAAAGGAATCTGCAAGGTAAATGCCCAGTCGAGAAGCACTTAATGGACAAAGAAAAGGAGGACTTGTGGCACCTTAGAGACTAACCAATTTATTTGAGCATAAGCTTTCGTGAGCTACAGCTCACTTCATCGGATGCATACTGTGGAAAATACAGAAGATGTTTTTATACACACAGACCATGAAAAAATGGCTGTTTATCACTTCAAAAGGTTTTCTCTTCCCCCACCCCACTCTCCTGCTGGTAATAGCTTATCTAAAGTGATCACTCTCCTTACAATGTGTATGATAATCAAGGTGGGCCATTTCCAGCACAAATCCAGGTTTTCTCCCCCCTCCCCCGCCCCAAAACCCACTCTCCTGTTGGTAATAGCTTATCTAAAGTGAGCACTCTCCTTACAATGTGTATGATAATCAAGGTGAGCCATTTCCAGCACAAATCCAGGGTTTAACAAGAATGTCTGAGGAACAGTGGAGGGGGGGAAAGGAATAAACAAGGGGAAATAGGTTACTTTTTATAATGAATCAACCATTCCCAGTCTCTATTCAAGCCTAAGTTAATTGTATCCAATTTCACGGACAACAGATCTGAAAAGACGCCAATCCACATCTGAGCATTCCCAGGAATGTGGCTTTGCTGGTAAGAAACTCAGTCATACATGGACATTTGACTTGCCCATGTGACTCCAAAACTCCATTTTGTAGCTGGATTCTACACGGGGGAGGGAGGGGAGTCCACTCAGAGGAGAAAGTCTATTTAAACCCCTGGGAGACCCCTCCATTTTGTCTTCAGCTGGCTAAGGAGATAGGCTCTCCACCCCCCAAGGATACCTGAGAGAAACTGGAACAAAGGACAGTAACTACAGGGGGTGTGAGTGATTGCTGGACCCAGACTAGAAGGAGACTAGTCTGTAAAAGGATGCTTACTGGGTGAGGTTTTTATCTGTATTCAGTTTTCTTAGACATAGACTTGCGTGTTCTATTTTATTTTGCTTGGTAATTCACTTTGTTCTGTCTGTTACTACTTGGAACCACTTAAATCCTACTTTCTGTATTTAATAAAATCACTTTGTACTTATAAATTAACCCAGTGTATGTATTAATACCTGGGGGAGGGGGCAAACAGCTCTGCATATCTCTCTATCAATGTTATAGAGGGCAAACAATTAATGAGTTTACCCTGAATAAGCTTTATATAGGGTAAAACTGATTTATTTGGGGTTTGGACCCCATTGGGAGTTGGGCATCTGAGTTCTTTCAGTTAAATCTGAAGCTTTGGGCACCTGGTTCAGACCCTGGGTCTGTGTTGGAGCAGACTGGCATGTCTGGCTCAACAAGACAGGGTGCTGGAGTCCCAAGCTGGCAGGGAAAGCAGGGGCAGAATTAGTCTTGGCACAGCAGTTGGCAGTCCCAAGGGGGTTTCTGTGTTCCAACCCGTCACACTGCTTTAGCCAGAGGAGCTTTGGATCACACCATGCTCCCACTAGTTCTGCTCTCTCCCAAACCCAAACATTCGGAAGAGATATAAATGCCCATGCTTCAGGGCATAGTCCAGTCACGCACTGCTCCAGGTCAGGAAAAAACTTCCCCTATGAACAGTTTATTGTACAGATCCTAACACCTTCCTCTGAAGCATCTGATTGTGGCCACTGACGCATCTGATTGTGGCCATGATACTGGATTGGATGGACCACTTGTCAGAACCAGTCTGGCAATCCCTAAATTCCCCCAGGCACTCTAGTGGTTATCTCTGCTGCACTGCATTCTTCAGTGATTGCCATCTCATGCTTGGCCAGATAAAAAGAGCTTTGCAAGTAAGGAAAACAGGGAAATGTGCGGCTATTTTGTAACAGTGGTAAATCCATGCAGGCAACTCGGAATCCCATTGAACTAATTTACATTACAGGATGACAAAATTTATGAACATGGGCAAGGGCTGAGAAAAGAGAGAGAGTTACATTAGATGAGCCACGTCCTGAAGTCTTTATGCAGGCAAAATGCCCATTGACTTCAAGGAGAGATTGCCCCAGTCAGCAAGGACTTCCAAAGAGCTGAGCGACATTTTTCGCCCAAAACTTATTTCCCCCCAGCAAAGAAATGCATATTCAGGTCGACACAGACATTGAGAATATGGGTCAATTTCACAGAATTGTTTTGGTGAAACAAAAACCCCCCACCCATTAAAAAAATCCAAAAAAGTCAAAAAGTTTTGTATCCCCATTTTCTAAATGGAATGGTTCTACTTTTCAATTCAGATCAGCATTTCATTTCAACATTACTTTTAATGAAATATTTTAAAATAAAATTAACAATCTGGTTGTACAAAAATAAGTGGGTCTGACTTACACATTACCAGAATGATCCAGGTAGCCTACTACCATGAGAGAAAAATAAAATAAAATCCATAAATAAAATATTCTTGTGTTCATATTTTAACATATATTAAAAACATACACACACACATATATATATATATATATATATATACACACCACATATTTTAAATGGATCTTTCTAGTACAAAGCTATTTTAAATTAAACCATTGTACATAATAAATACGGAACCTGTACAAATATTAATCTATAAATTATTACAGAGCAAGGCATGCTGGTTGTATCACAGGTCACATTTCATTATGTTGGCATCAGTGCCATGCTACCCTCCAGGGGTACAGTGCAATGGTGCCTTAGGACGCCAGCCCAGCACCAGCAGGTGATGCCACTCCCAGGTAATACTGGGGAATCAAAACTCATCTAGAGTCATTTTGACGGCAATACAAATTACCAGGCCAGATCCTTAGCGGGTGTGAACTGAAGTCTGTGGAGATGAACCAACTTACTCTAGCTGAAGATCTGGACCATGGTTTGGGATCTCAAAACTACTTCTAGGAAAGAACAGCAAGGGGCATAAAGAGAACAAACATCTGCGGCAGTCATGTGCTGAGTGTTGTTGGATCCTGGTTAGGAGAGACACATACTCCACAGCGCACAGCGACTTAGTCAGGCTGGGTCACTGGACCTTTGAATCACTGGAAAATCAGGCCAAGTTTAACAACGTGTTTAATGTTCAGACAGTCAGTGCAGCCGGGCCACAGTAACCTCATGATCTGATCTGACCTGGGAGTGACTGGTGAGAATCTGCTTCACAGACTAGCAGGCCTGAGCCCGCTTCAGTCCAGGTAGCGCAGGTAACAATAGCATGGCAGACATGGCAGCGAAGGCAGTACAAGCCCGGTATGGACCCTGGGTATGGACTCAGCTTGCTGTCTTCAGTGCTATTGTTCCTCATGCTAGCTGGATTCAAGCTAGCTCGGTAGCCCATACGCACCTTTTGCTGTGTAGACATACACTTTGCCAACCCCCAACGGCTCTGTGCTGCTGGTGACTTGGAGTAACGAGTTAATTTCACATGCAATTTAAGCTTCTGTACCTGGGATCAGATTGTCCATTGCCCAGCACCTTGGGTCATCATTTGCCCCAGTGCTAAGTGAGCATAAATAGTTACCATTCTGTTTTAGAGGCATTTTATTACACTCAGCAGTGGGGCAAATGATGACCCAAGGTGTTGGGCAATGGAAAACTCAGCCAAGTGGGCAAAATAGGTTAAACTAGGGTTGGATCATCAGGATAGATCGGGGTGGGCAAACTTTTTGGCCTGAGGGCCACATCTGGGTATGGAAATTGTATGGTGCACCATGAATGCTTATGAAATTGGGGGTTGGGGTGAGGGAGGGGATGAGGGCTCTGGATGGGTGTGTGGGCTCTGGGGTGCAGGAGGGTGGGACCGAGGGATTCGGAGGGTGAGAGGAGGATCAGGGCTGGGCAAGGGTTGTGGTGTGGGAGGGGGTCAGGAGTGCAGGCTCCAGGTGGCGCTTACCTCAGGCAGCTCCCGGAAGCAGCGGCATATCCCCCCTCTGGCTCCTACGCAGAGACACGGCCAGGTGGTTCTGCGTGCTGCCCCATCTGCAGGGGCGGTGCTTGGGGAGCCCCCTGGCTGCCCATATGCATAGGAGCTAGAGCAGGGATGTGACACTGCTTCCGGGAGCCACGCTCCTCAGCAGGAGCTTAAGGGCTAGATTGAAACATCTGAAGGGCTGGATGCGGCCCCTGGGCCATAGTTTGCCCACCTCTGGGATAGATGCTGGGTCTTTGTGCATTTGAATCCAGCCTGTTCTTCTGCAAAGGGTCTCAAACAGTGCAGTAATGAACCATTCCTGCAGAATCCAGTGGTGCTTTTGATAAGAAACAAGGCACCTTGGCTTCTGTACGCTGTGCAGAGGTACCTGGAAGCTCTCAGGCCGGCCTTCCATACATGCATGGCCCCCAGCAGCTCCCACTGAAAGCGAAGGAGAATCCCCTCCAACCACTTGAGAACAACAGAGAATACCCCACACCCCTGAGAGCAAAGGTGGCTGCTGGGTGCCAAGCACTTTGCCAACCTGGCCCCAAGGGACTGTCTGTCCTAGCACATTGAATGTGGGACCAGGACACGACATGGCTCTGGTGTACCTGCACCAGGCTCCTGTGCAGCCGCTTCTCGGGGTTAAACAGGGGTTGTGTATTTCGTTCAAGTATTTTTCGGAAGCCTTCCTGGCTCCGTCCTCACCACCAGATCTGAGCAGCAGCCATCTAGGGTTCCCTGGCTCCCGCTTGGTGGCTCATTCAGGAGTGTGAGGAAGCCTCCTTTCTTTTTGTGCCTTTCCGTCTTTTCCTTTGATTTCTGAGTCCCTGCGGCGCATTCTCCCCTGAGCCCCTGACCAGTTTCTCCAGGAACTTGCTGTAGTTCCAGAGCACTTTGCATCCGTCAATCTTTTGCTGGAAAGCGTTAGTGGCTACAGGTCTCTCTGGGATGCCTCTGGAGTTGGGCGAGACTCCCTTGAGACAGAGGGCGCAGCCGGTGTTGGAGAGGAGCCCTCTCACCGACCACCGGGTGCTTTGGAGTTTGCCAAGTAATGCAGCACCTGGGGTGCTCAGCACCTGCTGCTGCTTCCCGATGTTCTCGAGGGCGTCCTTCATGTGCTCCAGAGTCCAGTATAGCTCCTGCAGCATGACACTCTTTGGCTGGTCTCTTATATTCTCCGTGGGAAACCACTGTACAGCCTCATTGCAGAGTTGGCGAAGGTCGGGTGGAAGCAAGCCCTGGTGAGTCAACTGGAAATACAAATAAACAAATGCAATGCCAGCCACCATGGGAGAGACAGACAGAGTCGCGTGGGCCACTGTCACATGGACAGTAAAGGAAACCCTCTTAGACAAACACCTGTCAACGATTTTCTCACTCCTGCCTCCTCAGGAGGGGATGGGCTAAATGACCCCTGGAGGTCCCTTCCAGCCTAAATGTCTATGAATCACTACAATACATTACATATATAGCAACAGGACACTACCTATCATGGGCCTTCAAAGCACTCTGCAGACATTAAGGAATTAATTGTCACACCAGCCGACAGAAATAGGTCAATATTATTACAGCCATTTTATAGATGGTGAAACTGAGGCATAGAAACATGAAGCAACTTGATTAGTGAGCTGATGACAAAGCCAGGGCTAGAACCAGACTTTTTGGTACTTAGGTCAGTGCTTTAATTACCGAACCATGGGTTTTCTGCTATAGTCCTTGCACGAGAGGATCCAGTACTAGTGCTTGACAGACTACATACACATTCAACAACATGAAAATGCAGCTACTTCTGGGCTGGAGAGTAGCAGCCAGCATGCTAGGCAACAGCAGAATGGGAGATGTTGGCTGAAGATATGACACAGTTTCAGCTCTATGTTCATACAGGCAGGACTGCGGCTTTTAAGATCTAAGAAAACTCCCACACTCTAAATTGCTTGGAACCCAGTTCTCCTCTGGCAACATGGCAGGGTGGGGGCTGTGCTGGTCATGGTGCTTTGAGGAACATGAGTATGTCAGGGGGAATGCTTCGGCCTGCCGGGCCAGATGGAAGTGCTCTGCACAGTCAGTTCTCAGGTGATTACTCTTTGACAATAGCCGTCAGGTACACCCAGCCAGACGGCACCCACGGTGCGCTGGAGGCAACAAACACCTCTTAACATTCCTCGCTCCGTGATTCATGGGCCTGTGAGTCCCTCCCACACACACGTTCTGGCCAAAGCTCAGGGAAGCATTGATGGGGAAATCTAGCTGGAGGGAAGGTGACTGTGTCAGTGGGGTTGTTCCCCCAGACCACCCACACACCTCCAACGACTCACGGCACACCAGTCTGCCACCCCAGCTAGTCATGCTGACTCTACCATGTGATATTTCCAGCAAACTCCTGCCCAACAATAAGGCAGGACCCAGAGCAAGCCTCATGCCTTTTTTGGGCAGAAGGATCCCAACATCATTGCATGTCCGTGAAATATCCACCTTCGTGGCAGACACTGGGGACCAAACTAGGGACCTCCAGAGCTAGAAACATGAGTCTTTACAGCTCAAGCGAAAGAGGGAGGGTGTGTGCTGCAACAGGCCCATAGGCACTGGGCATGAGGTGCCACACACATCACCCGGCCTCCGTCTACAGGGAGGTCCGTCAGCCCCTTGCTGGCTCCATGGGGCCATCCCTGTGGCTGCCACCTTCTGGGTACAGTTATGCAGTTACCAGCATGGGCCAACCACTTTCCCCAACCCTGCTTCATGCTGCTGTTCTTCAAAGCAGTGCCTCGGGTGCTGGAGAGCTGTGCCCTCCATGCAGAGCTTAGTGGCCTCGCTTGAGAGATTCTCCCCAGCCAGAGGTGTCCCCTGGAGGGCAGCACTTACATAGGATCTGAACAGCTCCTTGGCTTCCTTTTCCATCTGTCTGGTCTTTGCTGTGATTTTGCCCAGGGAATTCCGATGACACCCTCGGCAGGGGGCAGTGCTGGAGTTTACACGTGCCAGGCATTGGATGAAGAGACCCTGAGTCACGGCTAGAAAGGAATAGAAAAGAGTCACATCAACTGATGCAGACGACAGAGAGACACCAAGATACCTCAGCCCACACTGGAGGCCTTGTATCAAGGCAGGCAGGAATGAAGGAGGCGCTAACTGGAAACCTCTGTGCTTTCTTTGGAAGGAAAAAAAGTACCATGTAATTGCTTCTCCTTTACGCTCTCAGATCAGCTACTAGCCACACACCACTCTGAGAAAGCTGGCGAGTGTCTCGTTTAGTACCAGCAATAGCTGAGTACACCCGCTGGCATGCAGCAGCGTGTGGCAGAGCAATAACGTGGTTACCTAGCGTGTTTTACCCTGGGACCTCAGAGCGCTTTGCAAAAGCAGGAGCCATCCCTGATTTTCCCCGGGGGGAAAGTGAGACCAAGCGTGGTTAAAGCATTAATGAAAACAGTCTTCGGTTTGGATTTCAATATTCCTCTGCATGTTTGCAACCCACACTCTATAGCATTGCACTAGTGCAGGACGGCCAAAGCCTGATTCGGGAGCCAGGCTACCTGCCCCTGGGAAATGGATTCTAGTGTGTCTAGGGTAACTGAGCTAGGATCCCTGCATCTGCTCTCAAGGCTGACACGTGCCTGCTTCTTAGTTAGCCAGTTAAAATCCCTCTGTCATTTATTTTCCTGTTAGCTCATAGGTGGCCTGATTTTACTCCCAGTGAAGTCTATGAGGCCCTGAGTCATGTGCTCCATAACAGTGTTTTCCCCAGGGCACCCAGGCTCAGGTGACCTGCCTGGGGGCTCCCTAGTAGGGGACCATTCTGGCTTTCAAGTGGGATTTCCCAGAGGCTGGAGTAAAGGAGCCCAATGTGCCCTTTGTCCTTCTAAGCAGCAATGCTCGTTGGAGGTGTACATGATACCGTGGGGCTAAGCACGGAGGGGCTCGTCCCTTGGGACAATCCTAGCCGGGTATCTGGGGGCATCTAAAGGGTACTAGAAGAGACCTAAGAAGCTACAGGTTCTGCTCCCCCACCTCCCCCCGTATAAATATTGCAGAAAAACTAGAATCCAAGATTTCTAATAACTCCTTGGGCAAAATTAATAGATTCTAAGGTTGGAAGGGTTAATTCTGGTCATCTAGTCTGACCTCCTGCAGAACCCAGGCCAGGGCACTGCCCCAAATTACATCTCCATCCAGTTCATAACCGCTGTCTGAGGCAGACTCATCAACGCCAGCGAATGCCGATCCAGGTGTTCCTGGCCAGAAACCTCTGGGGTGTCTCAGGGTAATTTCTTTTGTTCATGCTTTATCCCCTAACTATATCTCCTTCCCTAGATCTATAGCTGGGACACAAGCTACCCGCAAGGGTGGGGAGGAAGATGTCTAAATACCTTTGTGAATCCTACCCTACATATCTCCCAGTTTCTCTCATACGCATCACTGTGGTATCTGCCTTTGGTTATTCAGCATTCACCCTCTTGGCTTCGAGGACAAGATGCAGCCACCTGGGTCTTGAAGTGAATACGGTCTAGATAATACTTGGCCCTGCCATGAGTTGCAGGGGACTAGGTGACCTCTCAAGTTTCATTCCAGTCCTACGATTCGATGATTCTGTGCTTCTCAGGCTGTTTAGCCAGGAGAGTTCGGCAAAGGATTTCCACCAGAAGTTTTCCCTTGGGAAATGACGATTAGACACAATGGACATTCCATGGGAACATGGCAAATCCATCAAAACTTTCGACAGAAAGCAGGCAGGCATCCTGGGCAGCTCTAAGCCGGCTAGCTGCCTGGTGCCCAGGCTTCTCTGCCTGTCCTGCTCCCTGGGCAGCTGGTTCCCCGGGCTCCTGGGGCTGCCTAACTCCCTGTTGGCAAGGTGGGCAGCCCCAGAGCTGGGGAGCCTGGGCATCCGAAGCTTTTCCAGGAAATATTTCTGAATTCCTTTCCAGCAAAAAGATTTGAGATTTTTGACTTTTGGTCTGAATTCAGGACAATTTAGCTTTTTACACTAGAAATGTTTCACGGGGTGGAAATTCCACTTCCCAGCCAGTGCTAGGAGCCAGGATCCACAGGGCCAACACCAGAGCTGCTAGACGCAGCTCCCTGGGAATGCGTGCTGCCGACATAGCTCCCAGGTGGGAAGAAACGAGACTCGGCTGCAAGTTCACTCCTTACGCAAAGGGGGCCAACTCCATTGATGCTGGCAGAAGTGCCCCACTTACGCCAGGTCTGGAGGCAGCCCTCCCTCCTGGGGAAGGTGATGCTTGGACAGAAATTGAGCTTGGTGAACTCTTGTCACTCACACAGCTCATGGAGAAGCCCCTGAGTTTTTAGATGAGCAATCTCCCAGAACATGCTGCACCAGAGGCCAGCTGAAGTCAGCAGGGCTGGGCTGCAGAGATGCTAGCGAGGACAGTGTTGACTTGCTCTTTCCTGTTGCAGAATGAGTTGTAATCTCCAGAAATGCCAAGTATGTTTCTTTAGCAGCATTGCCGTGTGCGTTAATAATATAGAGTTGTATATAACACAGGCATTCACACATTTTCAAACAACTACCGCACCATTAACCCATCATAACTGCAGCTAAGCTAATTTGCACATGTAATTCTCAGACACGCTGCTCACGGTGTCATGGGACATCGTTTGACCCTGACACCTTTGACTCTCCAAATGTCCTGCTGGGACATACAGTAGAATTTCACCTTGGGACTTAGGTGCTTTTGAAAATGTTACCTGTGGAGAGGGCTAATGTGGTAGGCACCTCTCCCTGCTAGTTTCCAGCTCTTGTGCCACTCGAAGCTGGCTGTGGTGGAGGTATCTGAGCGATGGAACAGGATTGTTACACATCAACACAGCTTTCAGCTCCGTGCTGGCTGACTTTGCCTTCATACACTGATCCTACAGGTGCCACTTCTAGCCAGGAGTCACCTCATGCTGAACTTTTACCTCTGCCAGCAGTTAAGGAAGAGACAGCTACTGGCTGATCTCCCTCTGGTACCAGATTGTGCCCATGTGTCTGTCAAATCAAGTCCTAGACCTAGTCTACATCTGCCTGGCTCCATATGAAAGTAAGAAGAACATCTCTACATATCTCTGGGCTAAATGACGGTGAAAGGCACCAGACTGACTACTTGGGGACTCCCTAAGCTGTCCACAGACAGGCACAGACTGCATCTCATCCCAACCCACCCCGATGTGGAAGGATCTGCTCTATGGGGGAGAGAAGAGATTGCTATAACCTCCCATCCGAGATCTCTTTGTGGAGGCTGCCTACAGTTCTGCTGACACAAGAACACCTCCCTCTCCTGCTAGAACCATTAGGCAGACCTACCAAGCTGCCATGGAACATCCATGCGACAGAAACCACTTGGGGTTGGTACCAGCAGTGGCTGGTCTCAAACCAACAACTCAGAGGCAAAAAGCACCATCTCTCATTCCCAAAACCAAGACTAAACCCAGTGGCAGTCCCCTCTATGCCAGCCAGTGCCCCCAAACTGCCTCGTACAGCAGCTCACACCCCCCAAACCTAGAGTGTAGGAACTTGCAAAGCTAAACCCTAATGCAAATGTTTTTCAGACCAGTACAAAGCATATCTTCTGTGAGGGAGCAAGTACTGATTTTCGCAAGCAGTTTTCACTCTTCTTTTTACTTGTTTCCAGTAAAAGAGCCATTTCCCCAGAAAGCTTTCCGATGCTCACTTTCCAGTGAGCCAGCTTAGCAGAACAGGTTACAGATTCAGCAAAACACCTCTGAATTTCAGTCTGATAACATAGTCCTATTTGTCTTTAGAGTGACTCAGTCTCCTATAGTACTGTAACTCTCTCTCACGCACCCCTCCACCAAACCCTACACAGCCTTTTGCTTCTGATCACAGCCTGCAGCCAAAGGAGAACGGCAGCGACTCACTGTGGGGACTTTTTCAAAGCTGCCGCGACAGCAAGCAATTGGCCGAAGAGCTGAGCAAGGGAAGAAAACGTCGTAACCTACCCAGAAGAAAGCCCAGGGTCTCCACGCTCCACAGCATGCTCAGAGTGGCAAGTGTTCAGTGCAGCCTGCTGAGAAGTGCACTGCCTCTTCCTCTGCTAATGGCCAAAAATGGGGAACCTTGCTTTCTTCAGTGCACTGATTAGCCAACCCCTACTGCAGGAGGTGGCCCAGTGTGACAGGAAAAAAAGAGAGAAGCGAACGGAATGACTAGCACCAATGAGTTCTCCACTGTGCGGCCACCCAGAGGAAATGATGTCTCTTCGCGCTGGCTAATTCTTCGAATAAGTTCCTCGAGATCCCACCAGAGCTCATCCGTGATGCAAGCAGCGTCCCAAGTGCCTAGTCAGAGGGCTGCTTCAGAAAAAGACCAGGCTGCTCCACCCTTCGGAGCCACATGGCATTTCAGGGAGTTCCTTATTTTTAAAGAGGAAAAAGAATCAGAATGGCAGCTGCTCTGTCTGAACCAAAAGCCAGCCCTCCTGTGGGCATGTAGAAGATGCTGCTTAGAGTCAGCTTGCTAGCGATAGACCATCCTCTACAGCCCTTGCCGCTGCGTAGGTTGCAATGGAGTTACACTCCCATACAGCTTGAGAAGAACAGGGCTGAGTCAGGCCCCAGCCATCCACCAGGAAAGGGGGTAGCTTGTTTCATAGCTTCTTATTCAGTGAGCCTTCCCCCTGCAGGGTCGAGGGAGGGGCTTTTGAGGCTCCAGGCTTGCAGACAGGAGACCATGTGTGATCTGGTACCTAGCATGCAGGCCAATGTCATTGCCCTGGTGGATGATCTTGCTCTCAAGGAAGATCATGCACATTTCTCTGTCTGCCAAATGGGCTGATGACAGTGGCGAATTTAGAGTTATGTGCAGCTTCGTCTTTGGGGGCCCCTCGGAACCCAGACAGGGAAAGGACATTCTATCTTATCTCTCCCACATTTTCCATTCTTTTTTTCTTCCTCCTCCTCCTATATTATAAGTAATGGGAAGTAAATGAAAATAAAGTGAGGTACCTTGATTGGGCAGGTGGTTGGGGTGCAGGAGGGTGTGCGGGGTCGGGATGGAGTTTGGGTGTGGAGGGGTGCGGGGGTGGGCTCCGGAAGGGAGTTTGGGTGCAGGGTGTGGGCTCTGGGCTGGGGCAGGGAAGGGGGCAGGGGGGCGGCACTTACCTCGGGTGGCGCAGCTCCCAAAGCAACTGGCACACCCCACCCCGGCAACAGCTCCTAGGCGTGGGGGGGGCCAGGGGGTCTCAACGCGCCGCTGCCCACAGGTGCAGCACCCGCAGCTCCTATTGGCCACAGTTCCCAGCCAATGGGACCTGCGGAGTCAGCCTTGGGGCGAGGGCCACAGGGACATGCCAGCCGGTCCAGGACTGGCGTGATGCAGGGGGAGGGAAGCAGAGCGGGCAGAGAGCTACCTTAGCCCTGCTGCTGGCATGTCTCTGCGTGCCCCTTAGGGGGAGGGGGGCAGCGGGTCCCTGTGTGCTGCTCAGGGTGGGGGCAGCGTGCGGAGCCACCTACCCCCCGCCAGAGACGTGCCGGCCGCCTGAGCCGTGCTGCGCTGCCAGCCAGGATTCAGGGGCAGGTTGTCAGATGAGATTTGTCCTGCTTTTTGCGGGGGGGGTGTCCCTGTCGTTGGGGGCCCTGTGCCACTGCATGGTTTGGTTCATGGTAAATCCGCTCCTGGCTGATGAGTCTGCACGATGGAAACTGCTGTGTGAGTGCCAAGCATTATTATACTGCCCAGGTCCAAGGAAGCACTGCGGCCCTCCAGCTCCCCTAACGCCCTGGCCTGTAGTGCCCCATGGTGCTCCCTGTGGGCACGCTAGCGTAACCCACTAGCGCGGGCATGTTACCGGCCCCCCTCTGTGCCGAGCTGCAGCGAGCATACACGAATCTCTTACACCCTAAGCTCTGAGGGGCGCTATGCTACCCCCTGTGTGCTGCCTAAGGCAGCAGCTGCCGCAATAGCTCAGGGGAGAGCCTGGGGCCTGGACGTTCTCTGCTTTC